TTTTTTTTTTTTTTAACCACACACATCTCGTACTTTGATAAACAGACCAAGTTAGGGGTTTTTGTTCTTTTTTACTGATCTTAGTTGTATACACTGAGCAGATAGAATTTAAGACCTGTTTTATGTGACTCGTGTTATAAATCTATTTTCATGGTCTACAGGAAAGAAAAGCAAAGATGATTTGGGACAGGTTTGAAGGGGCAAAGTTAATGGAAGGTTATGAAGACTAGAATGAAGAGCTTAAATCTGATCTGATAAACAATGGTGGAGGACTTTGTGAAGAAAATAAAGGAAAGCATTTTTGGAGAATTAAATCAACCACCATTATCTGACATAAGACAGTGGTAGCCAGTGGCAAAGCACGGTATATAATACATCTAGGTAATTAAGGCATCAATTTGGAAAACCCTAAGGGAGATTCCTCAACAAGGGGATTTGAGCAGGTAAAGACCTGGTTCCAGGGGAAGAAGAAAGTCCATCAACAGAAACAGATCTCCATTTTATAAACATCTCTTCACACTAAGTTTAATAAAACTTACTCTTTTTCTCCTTCTCTAGGGTTTCCTTCTCTCCTCGCTTATCGATCACCTCGCCTTCACATGATGCCTTTTCATCTTGAATTCGTCTCAAATCATTTGTGATGGCATCAATTTGGGGCTGAAGATTCTCACAGTTTTCTGCGGTCTTCAGTTCATTTTGCAAATCTTCGATCATCTTCCGAGTGTTACTTATCCTCCTCTGGCGATCGTGTTCTTCATTCTGTTTTACTGTTAAAGCCTGCTGCAGTTCCTCAATCTAATAAAACAAAAGTAGGTTAGTACTGCTTTACAAGACTTTTATAGTAATACAGTCTTTAAAATGCAAACTAAGTACATAGGTGTTTTCTTCACTAAAAGGTATTGTGTTGTGGGCTGTTATTCCTACCAGACCACCTGGGTTATCTTTATTTGTTCACTAATACATCCTACCTACCTAGAGCAAAGCTTAGCTTACAGTCAGCACTCATTAAATATGTGCTCAATGAACAAAATATTTATAAAGCCAATGAGAGATTTCTAAATACAGACAGAAAGTCAATGCATACTACACACCAGAAGACTGAAATTAAAACAGCATTTGTATGGTATATGACAGACTTTCAATTAAGCAGGAATATAAATGATGATTATGATTATGTAACCCTTAATTTTAAACTGAAATTAACTATTGTCTTTCAACAAAATTATTTACTACTATTACTTGAAAATAATATTTTGAGATTTTAATTGTCAATCTACATGTTTACATTTGCTGACTTATATTCAGGGTAAATTATTAAAAAACAAAAACAAAAAATCTGCTAGATTTTTATCAAAACCATATAAAGCCTACCTAGAGCTAAGATTTTTAAGACACACACACATGTACATGTATACAACCTATTGTTTTTTTACAGAAATAGAATTTCATATTATAGTAATTAAGGTTAACATATCACATAATTTGTTAGCTTGCTTTCCTTCCAAGTCATATTTACTCCCTTACCTCCTCCCCATTATAAAAGTAGGAACATATTCATTATAGAAAATATGGAAAACAGAAACTTAATAAAAATCATCTATAATCTTTTTTTTTTTTTTTTAATTTTTTTTTTTTCAACGTTTATTTATTTTTGGGACAGAGAGAGACAGAGCATGAACGGGGGAGGGGCAGAGAGAGAGGGAGACACAGAATCGGAAACAGGCTCCAGGCTCTGAGCCATCAGCCCAGAGCCCGACGCGGGGCTTGAACTCACGGACCGCGAGATCGTGACCTGGCTGAAGTCGGACGCTTAACCGACTGCGCCACCCAGGCGCCCCAAAATCATCTATAATCTCAATGTCCTTAAACACTTCCATTTTAATACCTACTTATTTACATGTTTCTATAGAACATGTTTTATTAAATGACACCACTAAATATGTATTGAGAACAGTTTCTCATTTCTCCCATGTCCTTGGCAAAACAAAATTTTGGTTTCTGTGTAATGTTCATTGGATATAATATCTATGGATATTTTGTCCTATTCCCTATTGTTGGACATCTGGGTTGGTATCAACTTTTTCCTTTCTAAAAATTTAACTTTGACAGTGTCATGATAACAAACTGAAATATGCCAAAATCACCTCTCCATAACAAACATGGAGAAGATGGAAATATATGAAAAAATTAAGAGACATATCTGTGCCTGAAAGTTCACAATGTTCAATAGGATTAAAAGAAGGAAGGAGACAAGAAGCCACACCGTTGGGCTGGAAATCCATGAAGTCCAAGGCAATGAGAATTAACAGGTACAGAATTAAGAATCACCAAATACATGAGGCAGTCCAGCTCCATGAAAAAGGGACAAGATATTTAACAAAACCTTTGCACTCCCAGCAAAACAGACCCACCAAGCTACCAAAAATCACTGGACTACTAAAGAAATCTGTACCAAGAGGTCTTTGTCTGACTTGAAAAACTGGGAAGCAGCCCAATATCCCTGCCCTTCCAGCTAAGTTTTCTGAACTCTAATTCATGTGTCACTCTCATCCAAGAAACTTCCATGCTAATCCCATACTCATCATCTTCAATTTCCATGAATGTTCTCTATTGTTCCAACTGACACTTGGCTATTCCTGAAAGACACTTCTAGAGCCCTCTCTAGACCTTCTCCTGCCATAATCCTTCAGACTGCTTCAGGACTCAGAGGTGGGGAGAGGGTGTTAATCTTCATGAATCCCCATTATACTATTTCTTCCATTAACTGAGCCCCACTGGAATTCCCTTCAAGACCATGGTATCAGGCTTTACCACCCTTATCTCTGTTGCTGTGTTAACTTCCTCCCTCAAAAAACCTTCATCACTCCATTCGTTGATGATTGTAGCTCCCCACTCACTGCTTTCCTATCATTATGCCCATCACATATATAGAAAATCAATCTCTTTGGTCCTTGTGTTCCTGGACTTCAACTTCAACCATCTTTTCCTAAACCCCTCTGCAGCTATCTTCTCCTATGGTTATACTTCAAATCATGTAAATCACCCAAAATCATCCACCTGAAAACCATTTCTACAATCCTGTTCTTCCAGTCCCCTTTACTTGCATTTTATTTACTGTGGTATTATTCACACTATTCTTTGACCCCGCAGAGTCCTGTAATGCAGTGACCCTACTATCTTTTCACAATCCATCATCCCCTTCATTTCTTTTTTTAACCTCCTGAGGTTCCACAACCCAGTACAGGACCCACTGCAAAGACCTGTTGTTCCTCCACCATTTCTATGTCACATCAGCCAGGAAAAAAAAGCATAGTCTCTATCAAACCTAACTACATACCTTCTGTCTATCTCTATCCAAGAGGCTGAACTAATTGAAGAAACTCTCCAAAAAGGCATCTCACTTTGAATTGACGGCCACAAAACTTAAATACAAACTCAAAACTACCAGACACACCTATCACATGTCTCTAATCAATGTGTGCTATTCTCAAGTGACTTCACATCTTGTCTTCCACCTTCCTCAATCCTTTATTGCTGCAGGCCCTCTGCTCACTCAGCTGATGACCTTGCCTCACACTTCATTAACAGCATAGTTAAAATTCCTGCTTTAAAACCCATCACCGTATCTCCATCTATACTCACTCCATTTTATCTTGTACAAGGACAGTCCTTGTAGCTACCTACATCTAAAGGAGGCCATTTCAAGCAGTGTCTTCTCTAATTACTTATGGTGAAGGACCATGTTTTAAAAATTCCAAGCCATCAAAAGTCAACTTTTATCAATGACAACTACAATAAATTACAATCATTTTGGAAAACAGGTTGTTAATTCCTTCAAAAGTAAAATATATACCTATGATATTCTACTCTTAGGAAACTACCAAAGAAAATTAAAGCATATATTTCATACAAAAACTTGCACAAGAATACTCATGGCAGCTTTACTGGTAATAGCCCCAAACCAGAAACAATCTTAATGTCCATCAATAGGTGAATAAATTGTGGCCTCAAGAAAAGTGAAAAAGTACATCAAACTAAACAAAAATAATAATACAAAGTATCAAAATTTGTGGACACATCTAAAGCAGTGACGAGAGGCAAGTTTATAGCATTAAGTCCATACACAAAAGTCTCAAATCAGTAATCTTGAGATTTCACCTCAAGAACCCGGAAAAAGAGCAAAATAAACCCACATCAAGCAGAAAAGAGGAAATAATTAGGATATGAACAGACGTCAATATAATTAAAAAGAGAACAACAAAATCTATGAAGCAAAGAGCTGGTTCTTTGCAAAAACCAATAAAATTAATAAACTTCTAGCAAGATTGCCTTTCCTCCCCAAAAAGACACAAATTACCAATATCAGAAATGAAATAGGAGTATGACTGTATCACTACAGGCATCAAAAGGATAGTAAAAAACTCTGCACAAATTTGACAACTTAGACACAACAGATCAATCCCTCAAAAAACACTACCACAACTCATTAAGTATGAAATAGATTATTTGAATAGCTCTTAATTAAATTTAATTCATAATTTTAACTCCCCTCCCTCCGCCAAAATCTTAAAGACCCAGATAGTGTAATTTGAGAATTATTCAGAATGTTTAAAGAATTAACACCAATTCTTCAGTCTCTTCTATAAAAAAAAAAACAAACAGAAGAGGTGAAACACTTCCGAATTTATCTTATAAAGCTAGTTAGTATTCTGACACCAAAAACAGATGGTACAAAAAGAAAACTACAGAGCAATATCCCTCACAGACACAAAAATCCTTTAACTGTTAGTCAACAGAATTCAACAATTATAAAATTATATACCACAACCAAGAAGGATTTTCATGGATGGAAGGTTGATTTGATAAAAAAAAAAAAAAAAAAAAAAAAAAAAATCAAGGTCAAGGTAATGCAATGCTAAAGGTGAACATGAACACTATCATATCAACAATGCCAAAAAAAAAAAAAAGCACTTAACAAAATCCAACACTCCATGATAAACACTCCCAGAAACATAGGAATAGAGTGAAAATTACCAAACTTGATTAAAAAAATCTATAAAAAAACCTACAGTAACAATACACTTAATGATAAAAAACAAACTGCTTCCCTCTTAAGATCATGAATGAGGTAAGGATGTCCACTCTTGCTGTTCTTATTCAACACAGTGCGGGAAGTTCTAGCCAGTGCAGTAAGGCAAGAAAGGAATTAAAAGGCATACAAATCAGAAAAAAAAAAAACAAAAAAACAAAAAAAACTGTCTCCATGTGTAGATGACACGATTGCCTATGCAGAAAATCCCAGGGACTCTATTTTTTAAAAAGAGAAAGGGAGAGAAAAAAATACTTAGGTGTAATCTCACAAAACACAGAGAACTTGCATGCTGAAAACTACACAGTGGTCACTGAAGAAATAAAAGATCTAAATAGATGGAGACATACCATGTTGAAAGACTGGAAGACCCAATAAAGTAAAGGTTTCAATTCTCCCCAAACTGATATACACGTTTAATGCAATTCCTATTAAAATCCCAGCAACATTTTTTATAGATACAGAAAAGATTTCGAAATCATCAGGAATGGCAAAATCTAACTGAAAATCCTCTCCTCCAAAAAAGCAATGAAAGCACTGACAAAAGTTGTCAAAATTAACTTTTTTTGAAATTCTGGAATTTAATCAAAGGCTTATAATAACCTGGAGACTGTTTATTCAAGAAAAATGCCTGAGTCTTGGTAAAAACAGCAAGATATATGGGATTAAAAAAATTTTTTTTAATGTTTATTTTGAGAGAGCGAGA